GCATCCTCCTCTGTAGGAGTTTCCTAACTGCTCGTTCTTCCTTCGTACTCCGTTGTTGCCCTCCTTCGCATTCTTCTGGAGCCGCTCGTCGTCCCACTCTTGCTGCGACGTTTCAAGATCTCCTCTCAATCTCCTCCGAGTTCCGACATACTCTAATCGCGGCCATCGCAGTCCGTCGCCTGTGCGTCAACGCCGCCGCTCACGCTCCGTTCAACGACTCCGTTCCCGTTCTCGCTCGGGCCCGCGCCATCGCCCCCGTTCTCACTCGAGCCGCGACACAGCTCCCGTTCTCGTTCTGGATCACTCCCGCTCTCGTTCTGCTTCACGGGCACGTCGTCGCCGCTCCCATTCCCTTCGCTGCGTCACCTCCCGGAGACGCTGCTCTCGTTCTGTTTCTTGTGGTCATTCGCCGCAGGGGCATCATGTCACTAGTGTTGCCACCTTCCGGCCTACGGACAACGAGGCCCGTGTCCTCAACACAGCCCGGGTGGGCCCTCGCCCAGCATGGGACGCTGCAGGTAATGATGAGTTCTCTCGATTTCGCGCATGTCTCCGCAAGATAAGGTGTGCGCCATGCTCCAACACGAGCGTTTTCGCAACCGTTACCACATAACGAAGGTGGCCGTCAAGATGTTGTACGCGGTTAATTTCCACTCACGCCCCATTGATCACTTCTTATCCTCTGAGGATCCTTCAACCTTCCACCAAGACCGCACAGTCGTCCATGACGACGGTCAATGGGGAGGCGTGGAGCCCGGTCCCCGCTTCCATATCCGCCAGGCGGACCAGCTTCATCATGTCCTTCACGTTATCCAGGATGCGACAGCAGAATGGTATCCGGCCGATGTTGCTGCCATTTTTCGCGCCGTTCACGGTGATGCAGTACACCAGGTACCGCACCGGTCCCCCCCCCCTTCTGTAGTCCATGCATGGTGCAATCTCTACCAGGCCGTGTTTGAGGGACTTTGCAACGTTGTGCTCTACCGGGTCGACAGCCGCGACTTTATGGAGCGGGCGTTGCGGATCCTACGGCCTAAGTCGCGAGAATACCAGCATTTTTATGTTCATCGTGTCCTGCGCGACGCGATGATGCGAACGGTTTTCGATTCACATGGCCCAGGGCCTCGGGCTACTGAGCCACGCCATACTCGGGAACACCTCCCCAAGCGCAGGGAACCCATCCACGACCGAGTCGTGGGGGACGTCATTCCGAGCGAACTGTTATCCCACCCGCTACTCGGGATCAGATCCCGCTGATGAATGGTACCCAAATCTGCATTCGCTACCAAACTGCGGTTGGCTGTATTTCACCTCGCTGCCCACACGTCCATCGCATGCATCAACTTCCACCGGACGTGCTTCGCTGGACGACAGATCGTCATGGTCCACTCAAGGGTGGTCGTCCACAGCATAGTTGATGCTGTGGGGGCGGTGTTACGTCAAGTCTTGTTGGTTCCATAAAAATGACTACCCGGGAGCTGTCCATCCTGAGTCATCTGATCCGCTACCGCTTCGTGTCCTCGGTGGCCTCGTTATCAAGTCATCCGGTGATGTCCACGTCGTGCCGACCGGAGCGTGTCACGACGGACGCTCGGCAACTTCCGTTTGCCTTCGAGTTTCGGGTCTCCCGCACGTGCACCATCGCTGGCCGCAGTCGTTGCATCCCTGCGGACGTATTTTCTCACCTCCAGGAGGCGTGTCAGCGTTTGAATATCCCGTTTCCCATCGACCGGGTTTTTATGGCGGCCCGCCATGGGCGCTTACGACTTCCGGAAGAGGACGCTCGTTTTTTTACGCTCTCATTACCAGCTCTGAGCTGGGTATAGACGGTATCCTCGAGATGTTTCGGGGTCAGACCCCTTCCGACTACCGGCCGAACAAGGCATTGCGACCATGGCTTTTTCGCCTACATTTTTCATCTTACCCCCAATTGGACTTGCTTTGTGATATCGCGGAGCACGGCCTGGTACCCCGTTGGGTTAGCCCCGCTACTCGTCAAGGGGTCCGACCCGTACCTGATAACTACTTGGGCGCCGTCTCGGGTGCTCCAGTTGTGATTGACAAGCTGCTTATCGACTATTAGAGCGCTGTCTAAATAGAAAAGTGATCTATTTTGCGGTTACCTCGTTTTTTCTGTAACTGAAAAAAATGAGGCAGAAGAAATCGTTGGTATGTCCGAGTCCCGCAGTTGCTTTCTAGACAACCGCTTTCCACGGCGTTCATCAAACGGAACCATAAGAAATGGCCAAATCTTGAATCCAGCGTCGGCCAGCCAGTTAATGCCTGGAGGGCACAGATATCTCGCGCGAAGTCCAAGTACTTCAGACTGGTTCCACATTGATTGATCTGAGTTGCTGCCCGAAAAAACTCCAATGCATCGAAACTTCCCACGGAAATCAATAGCTGGCAAACAGTTGTAAGACGTTTTGCCATTCTTGTCGTAGAAGCCATTTGTGCGCGTTAAAAAATCTACATGTTAGCGTCAGACAAGATATCAAACCAGCCGCATACCATGTGATCGCGCGGGCGTCTCGTTATAATGATTGTTTCATCAAAGATGCACGCGACATCAGGAAAATTACTTCTACGTTCAACAAAGCCTTCCACCAGTTCCTGCCATTCCTCTAGTGCTGTCGGGGCTGGGAAATAGATGAGGGTGAACTGGGACGTGATGAAAGGCGTCCGCGATATCCGCGACCATGGCGTAAATAGCACACCCCGGGAACCGGCGACGAAGATCTCGGATCCGGACCGCAATCGACAGAATGGGATCCCAGGTGGTATCTGGAGATAACGTGAAGTCCGTGTAATCGTTGGCCGAATGGCCGCTTGGAGCGGACAGATCATGAATTATCCGGCCATCAAGGTGGAGGGGTTTGTCTTGTCTTTCTTCGGGACCAAAGCGAACGCGCTCGAATGGAAGAGAGAGTGTCCTGGACCAACGTGGCAATCGAAGCGAGAAGGCAGCGACCTTTGTAAGAGCGCTGTCCAAATAGAAAATCAACAATTTTTTCCCGCCTATTTTTTCTTGTAAGTAGCGTTAGGAAAAACGAGGTGGCCAAAGCACCTCATTATAAAGCGGCGAAAACAAATAGGTTCGGCGCCTCTTTTTGAGAGCAGAGACTGATTTTTTAAGTTGAAGATCGAGCGCGGAGTGATGGAGGAGTTAGCACGCTTGGGAGATGGCGCGCTGCTGGCGATAGGCGGCGCAGATGACGCGCAGCCGATGGACGTCGATGAAGGTATGTATGGGTCTGCATGCTAGCGGTGCAAGAGCGGCATTAACGGAAGCGGTGTGCTGCAGAAGTAAACGATTACGACGATGATTTGATAGAGGAAGAAATGTTGGTGCTGTGCATGCTGATGAACATCCTGCTGATGGTGTCCCTGAGCCAATTGGACGGAAGATCAATTCGAGGGCCTATTCAGGAGCACGTTGTCATTCAAACAGACTTTTTTCCCAAGCTGAAAGCGCGGCGTTCTCCTACCGCCTACAAGAAGACGTTGCGGTGCCTACCAGATTTCTTTGATGGGCTAGTTCGACTACTGGGGCCATTATACTATCGCAAATATGGTCTCCCAGGGCAAAACACACAGTATCATTTCGATTTCGGGCTTGCAGCACTATTGGCATACTACGGGAATAGCTGTGGTATTGACGGGGATGGAATTGGTGGAGCTGCAGCACAGTTAGGGATGTCAAGGACCGTTGCCGGCGTCTATATCAAACGGCTAGAGGATGTTCTCTATGAAATGATGCCAGACGTCGCCATGCGTCCGCGTTTGGGGGCAAGTTACCGCTCTCCAACCATGGCATTGTCTCCGGCATGGCCATCTTTGGCTGGACTGCGTCACCAGGTTTTTTCGCCGTTTTCGGGAAGGCGGTTCGACATTATCAATGCACAGGGTCATCCATCGTGCTGGGTTATAGTACCGTTCTGGATCTTCCAGTGGGTTGACGATATTCTTCTCGTTGAGGCCGACATTGGGGACCGCCTTCAGAAGGCCGAGAAGCGTCTCAGAGACGGTGTGAAACTCGTGTTTGGATCTGATGGCAGGCATGAGGGCAAGTTCACAACGTGGTCGCGTGTCTTTCATGCCGTAGGCACTGACTGGAACATTCCCGGTGAATCAATCTCGGTGCCTCAAAGGAAGATCGAGAAAATGCACAGGGTGGTCTCGAAGACGAAGGCGAAGAAATTCTTGTCACGGGAACAACTAGATTGTGTGGTGGGGGTGCTGGGGCATATTATCAGCTTCATCCCGGTCACAAAGCCGTTTATACAAAGGTTGGTGGCTGTTCAGACACGCTGTCGCAGCAGTCACAAATCGGGCGTGGCGATGTCAGACTTCCTTCAGAAGGATCTGGAGTGGTGGGAAGACCTGGTCCTCCAAAACAACTTGAGTAGCATTCCCATGCGGCTGTTCGATCACAACAAATCCATCAACGACATATGGCTGGTAGAACTGGAGCCTCAACACGTCATAATCTCCAACATGAATCTGGGAGTGCGGCTTTCGAACGGCTCACACCAACGCCCTGGGCATGGATGCCGTTGTAGCCAAAGCACTGAACTCGGTGGTCCACAAATAGGGCATGGCCTTAACGGTGATCAACACCTGGTATCACGTTGTGCTTCATAGCAACCGCCACTGGATCGCCCGACTGGTTGACAAGATGAACTGCCGATCAATCGAAGGACAAGACGAGTTACACCAGTGCACTGAGCCAGGCTCAGCATCGGATACATATTTCGACGCACACCTTATCTCGCAGCATGGATGGAGTATCAAGATGCGACCTTCACAGAAGCACTAACGATTTTTATGCTCAACATAAAATGACCGACGAGGACAGTTTGAAGCGAAGGCACAACAACTCAAACAGGCTGCAGTCGCAGACGGCACCCTCGGACGATACCGCAAGAATTTCAAGTTCTGGGAGTCATTCTGCAAAGAGTTCGGACTGCCGGTATGGATCGACAAGCTGCACAGGGCAGAACAAGCAAGAATTGTCGGGCTATTCGCCGGTCTGTGTGCTTCAGAAGGTTACAACCGATCCAAGGTGGGAAACAAATTTCAGACCTTCGACGGTAAAATGGCAGCAGTGGCATTCGCCCACAAGGCAGTTCGGAACGCCAAGCTTGATTACCATGATCCAGAATTTGAGGTCATCGCTCAAGGATACAAACGCTCGAACAGTCAGGTGGACCTGAAACAGCCAGTTATTGCACAGATGCTGCTCAAAATGCGCGAAGTGCTAGGTACACCGGACGAACGAGGCGAACTTATGTGTGGATCCATCATCTTGCCCTTCTTCTTCCTGGATAGAAGCTCAGAGCTTTGGGGGTCAGTGACGATCGACAGATCGACGGGACAGGAGAGGGTTCACTGCATCAAGGTTAGCAACGTGAAGTTACTGGACAAGCATGGTGACCCGGTAGACCCTGAGGCCACCAACGCTACGTCGGTGGAAATACGGTTCGAATCGCACAAGGGAGACCGAGTCGGACAAGGCTCGACTATCAGCATTATCGATCCAAGGACCCAACGTTATGCCCAGGGCAGCAGCCCAGGGCTGTCTACGTGTCAGAGCGAAGTGAGTTAACGAAGGCGTGAAGCTGGGGCCATACATCACATCAGTCTCGCCAGGCGAGACGACCAAGAAACTACGCGTCAGCCAGCTAATCAAGGGCACAGCCCCGGGCTTGGGTCTTAATCCAAAAGACTATTCATCACACTCGCTTCGTATTGGAGGCGCCTGTGCCTTACTGGCAGCAGGCAAGAGCGACCTCGTGATTCGACTGATGGGACGATGGTCGAGTAGGTGCTTCACCGTGTACACTAGGCTCAAGCCGGGCATGATTCGAGACGTGGCAAGCAGTATGATCAAGGCTTCGACCTGGGAGTTCCATGAACCAAACTCCATACAACTTGAGGGGGATTCCAGCGAGCCTACATCATTGAGCTAATCAAGTCTACTTGCCCCATTTGCAGTGTTGGAACGAAGGGGGAAAGTGGTCAGTTAAGTACGAGGGAACCGAGCTGAACCATGGGCTTCCGAACCGCGACAGAACGGAGAATTCCAGCCATTCGCCGTTCAGCCCGCCAGAACTCAGAGCCCAGGACAAGAACTCACGAAGACGCAGCCAGGCTGCATAGGAAAATAATTCTCTTCCAACGGGCTTGATTAGCGAGTAGAATGTCCTCATAGGATGGGTTTTCCACCTTTGATAAGGTTTATTTCATCAGAGGGCATAGAAGTAGGGGATTCCAGCGAGCCTAACTCATTGGGCTAATCAAGTCTACTTGTCCTATTTGCAGTGTTGGAACGAAGGAGAAAAATGCTCATGATCCGTTTGTTGTGTGTTTTCCTGCTTTCAAGCTTATATGCTCACGAACTACAATTGAATTAATCGGTTTGGGGCGAAACTAAATACCTTTCTGAATTGCGGATAAGTTCATGCGAAAAGGTTTTCCAGGAGCGCCGGTGTAGAGCCTAATGCAAGCTGGGAAAACGATAATTTCTCGGCGAGTAAACATTTTTTGTACCTTCCAGTTATGCTCAATGTAAAAATCATGTGTTAACAGTGTGTGGCAGATATGAGATAGTATTTTCATAGAACGATCCCTAATATCGAGGTACCCCTCGCAACCACCTTCCATCAGCTTGGGGTTCTAATCGGCGAGCCTAAGTCACACGAGACAATATTATTTCTAGTGTTAACCTTTATCCCCCAGGTCGAATTCATACGAGTACCAAGGATTTGATCATACGAGTATGAGATCGACAGATAGATTAGTATGTGGGGTTTGCATAACATACGGAAGGTGTAAAAAGGTCAGGTTACGCTTTTGCGAGGTGAACGCTATGGCATCCGGCCGGCGTTTGGTCCATAGATACACGGCGCTCTGGGTCAGAGCACTTTACACAGTAGAAATAAATCCTTCGTGCTGCATTCACCACAGGGCCGCTGTGCTCGCGAACCTCATTCTTGAGCTGGTGAGGAAAATCAATGAGAGCCTTAACGTGGTGAGAGCTGAGCTCGTCGAGGTACTACTATCAAATCCATTGTTGACAACCCGCTGCGCCTAGTCCTAGATGCTGAAAGCTCGTTGTTGGTGAACTGGTATAGCCAACTGAGAAACAAAATCACTAAAATCTAGTGATGCTCCATGGATCACATTGTGGCTGTGCGCTAGGTAGTTATCCACGATCACCATATCGTGCTAAACAATCGGTGAGTCTAGTTGCTTGTGATATTTTTGTCACTCCAATGCCAGGATGCCTTGACGGTAGTGGCCGTGCACGCCAACTGTTTGGAACTTAAAAAGAACAGCTCTATCATTTCGGAACGATTGATTCTTTTTTCGTAGCGCAAAGCTTCCACTATACTATCTCATTGAATCAACGATGACAAGATCGAATGGATTAGTTCCAGGCAGCACCGTTCCTTTGTTAGATATAATCGATATTGGCTTTCGATACTGCCCAGCATAATGCATCTATTTGTTTGTTGTGTTTGGTTGTGCACGAAACCACCGTGAACTACCCACGGGGTGGAGACGAATCGAACTACTGCTTGAAGTTTTTTTTATTTTTGGATACTGAACAGTAGCTGTTTTGGCGATGCCCATAAAATAAGCCCAAACGGTCATCGAGTTCAATAAGAGTCTTTACTGAGGCAAAGGCACCATCGGCAACTATAGTGCGGCCTGTTTCTTTGTATGGTTCAGCTAGCCAAAGTACAAGGGCTGTTCCCTTCTCCGTTTTCACGAGCATACGGTTTAGCACGCTGACGCGGTGCACCTTCAACTAGCTCGAGCCCAAATGAAACACTACTTTCACCATCTGCAATTGACGTGAGCTGAGTCCCTTTGCCCTCATGCTTACGTGCTATCTTCGTATTGTAAGGAAGGCCGTCGTGACCGTATCTATTCTCCCGCCCTTTCTGGATACTCATGCACTCGTCGACTCAGAGGATGTTACCAGGGCAAACAACACGTGTTCTCCTTTCATTGAAGCCGTCAACAAAAGGACGAATAGGTTTCTAAGGATCTTTGTCGACACCAGCATCTGCAGATGCCATACAAGACATTATTTCATCAAAACAGCGACGCCTCATATCAAATCGACCGATATTCAGTGAGGTATCAACGTAACCTTCCTTTTCATCCTATGGCCAATATGTAGAAGGTAGCCCCGATCGAGATTCAAGTGCCACGGTCAGCGAATCCCGATCCAGGTAAACCGTTCCCCCTGGTTGAATTATTCTCTGCTACTGTCGAGCCAGATTGGCGTTGGTAAATGCAATTGTGTTGCTCAAAGTTTGCATAGGGTACACCAGATTGAAGTAATTAGCAAACGTGCATTCGACAATTACTCCTATTGAGAAGCGCGTTGGGCGTGGCTGCGCACGTGTAGTGCAGCGGAATCAGCAATAATCTGCGAGATTGCTGAATCCGACCACCACCAGTACGTAGACACCGACTAACGGAGATGGTCCCCCGGTGGTCTTTGATCGGCTGAACTTGTTTACCTTGTATTCCCGTCAGAATCTGGCTACTCTGGTAACAACAGAGAAGTTCAAGTGAGTGAAGCTTGAAAGTTTTGGCGAGACGTGGGGGTTGTGTGGAGAAGTAGTGAAGATCTTCACTATACGTCCGATGTAGAGTCCAGATCACAAGCGAGTACTTCGAGCTTGTTGGGTCTGGCGATGTTGATCTGGGATCTTGACCGTAGGCTGCATTGAGGGTGTGTTTCTTTGAGTTTCCTTTCCGTCGTGCTTGCCGCTTCCAATAGCGGGATCTTGATAGTTGAGAGTCGATAGATACTCCAGGTCAAGCAGTAAATCCGGTTAACCTCCTTGATCTGCACTTGTGAGGAAACGTTCACTAGGTGGTGTGATCTGGCCAAACTATTATCCAAGTATCACAACCAACATTACATATGCTATTCCCGACCTTGACTGAGCTTGATAAGGCCAATGTCGTTCCGGCAGGAAGTGTGTAACACAATGCAAATTCGAGTATGATTTGTAGTTAGGTCCTATACACCAACTATCCCTACCAGCACAACCCCTTGATCCCTTTTCTTCAGCTATGTAACCGCTCTTCCTTGTTGTTCTTCGTCGTCCAACTGTTCTTGGCACCGGACCTTGGCTGATCTGCAACGTAGTCCTCGTCTTAAGGCTGGAGTTTTGGCGGATCTCTCCAGATCATGACACAAACAATCCAGATCATGATGATCTTGGTCACTCAGGGTTTGTCGAGTCAGGATTCATCTTGCTCCAGAAGTCCTCATAATGATCTTCCACATGCTGATCGTCCTTGATCTGGTGTCACCGTCCGGGATTCGCAGCCTTACCGTTGGATCGAGGTAGACCTCTCCGAATCAGGACATCTGCACTCCAGATCCTGATGATCTAAGTCATCCAGAACATGTTGAGGCAGGACCTGTCTTGATTTCGCTTATCCGTACCTTTACCATCACCTTCCAACGCAAATCAATCCAATCTAGGCCCAGGACCCACTTATACATACTCAAGAATTCAGGATCTGCGACGTCGGCTCCTGGATCGTCAGGATCACGTTCTGTCATGTCGGGATCTGAACTGCTTGACTCCGATCGGGGTCCACCAAATTGTCTTAACACAAAATCTTGATGCTTCTCCGATTATCTGTGTCGCTGGCCACCCCTCCCTGTACGTGTTTACAATGTCTGCCATGTCCACCGTCTAGACCCGAGATGCTTTGCTTCTGAACGTCAATCCTAGAAGCAGCTTATTAATATTTTGTCCAATTAAATCATATGAAAACGAGCTCAAGCGACCAAAGGACTCGGACTCCCCTCGCAAAGGTGAATAGTCCACGAACAATAAAACCCGCGTGCTGTGATTTAAAGGTTTTACGGCTTGCCTGTTTCTGTGGGAGCCGGGCTCCCGCCGAGCTCGTCGGATGCGTGATTCTATAGGTGCATTGAGATTTCTCGCTTCGTCGACGAAGCGAGAAAGATTTGCATTTACCTCACCAATAGTTTCCGTCTCGACGTGCATAGAACGTGTAGATTTGGCACTGTAAGGAGCCGCTAAATCGGGACGTGGATCGTGGTCGGATCACGCGCTCTACTTCAGATTGAGAAACAAGCTGATGGAAAACGCGGCACGTTGGTGGGTTAACCTCAAGCAAGACTAACAGTGGAAGAAAACACGTGAACGAGCCCGAAGAAGGCGCTTTTTTACGTGGTTGGATAAGTCTATAGTAGAATGGAGAGTGAACATGAGAAGAATGATGCCGGGAGAAGCATACGCAGATTTTGTGGCAGCATTACGGATGTGATTGGACGAAATAAAGTAAGTGAAAGAGTTTTATTGGCACAGTTCTACTGGAATCTAGACAAGATACCAAGAAACTCATCAGACAGCGACCTAAACCACGAACATTGGAGTTGGCCGTGGATAAGGCCAACGACATTGATGATCCTATGGATAACATTGCGCAAGGGATGTTTAATATCAGCCAGCTGTGGGCGACAGTTTCGAGCTCATATTTTGTCCCAGTTGACGGAACAACCGGTCAGACGGTAATGATTCCAGGAATTGGCGGCATCAGCTTGCCAACGGAGATGTGGGAGGCGCGGCAACAGCTGAAGACGGTGCTGGCGCTGTGGCACTCTTTACTAACCCACTGAGAGTCTTGGAATGAATATTCCAGACCCCCAGTGGGTTGGGGAGCTAGGATGTCCCAGCGAGTCGAGTATGGAATGGGAAGTTCTGGTACGAGCGAAAGATGCCCAACCGGAATCGCTATTCCGAACGTCCAGTTGGAGCTCGACCGAAGGGTACGAATGTGGTAGAGTGCTTTTTGAAAAATGAGATGATGGAATATGATGGATGGGCATTGTTCCGGATTAGTGAGGTGACCAACCTGGACATGGCAATGTTGAAGTAGTTTGGACTTGAGAGTGATAGATTGGGACGAAGGGCGCCGCGATGGAGTCAGACATGACGACGGCGACGCACAAGAATGCCTGGATCAAGTAAATCAGGATATGACGAGGAATGATCCGACAAATCCGAGATATCGGGTTGCCAAGTGGAGATTTACTATATAAGAGGATGGACTTCGAAGATCTCGAGCTTGGGCGACTATATCAAGGCGATTGCGTAAATGATCAAACGTTGTCAAGAACATCGCGGGCGTTGACTCATCTGCAGTACGAGCGTGATTCTGGACACGAAGATCTTCAACAGCGTGAGCTTCACCAGATACAGAGTGAGAATCGACCCCAAGTGCAACGCAGGCAAGCCACGCAACGAAGCGAGCGCTAAGAATAAGTTGGACGCAGACGCGACCACAGACACCAGAAGCGGCGGCGGCAAGTGGCGGCAGGTGCGTGGTCACGGACACCGCAGGCTTCAAAACCGAGTGCAACTCAGAGGTGGCCAAGCCCACGACGAGAGCTGAGAACATGTGTGACGTGTGCGTGCCCAAGGACACGGCGGGCGCTGAGAACGAGCTGGACGCAGACGCGACCACAGATAGCAGGAGTGTTGGTAGCACCGAGGGCAGCGCGTGTGCGATCAGAGACTTCGAAAGCTACTGCAGCGGGTGCATGGCTAAGGATACGGTTGTCGCTGCGGACAAGTGAGACGTGTGTACCAAATACACAACGAGCGTCGGCAGCCAGGGCAGTGTGTGCGTGGCCAAGTACACGAGGAGCGTTGAGAACAAGTTCATCGCGCGTGTGACCAGAGAGACCGCGAGTCTCAACACTAAGTGCAGCCTGTTTGTGGTCAAGTCCACGAAGGGCCTTGAGAAGAAGTTGGACGCAGGCGTGACCCCGGACGTAACAACCTGCGACAGCAAGTGCATCGTGTCCTTGACCAAGCGCACGACGCTCGCTGAGAACAAGTGCGGAGCAGGTGCGAACACAGGTTCCAGCTGGCGCTGAGAATAAAAGCGTGAGAAGGACGCAGCGAACTTTAAGAACACGTTCTGTGTGGTGAACACGAAAAGCGCTGGTGGTAACACGGGCGCAACCAAGAGCGCGTCGAGCGCTAAGGACAAGTACTTGACGCAGGGCGGGTGAGAATTCAGCAATAGACGGTGTCTGCTTTTACGGTTCTAATACGTTGAATTACTTCCTGATTAAAATGGCAACCGTGCAACCTCCTGTCACGGTTCAAGAAGCTATTGCAAACTTTATGATGCCTCCTGGGTTTCAACTACGTCCTTCAACCACCTCTCAGACATCGTTTATTTACGAGTGGGGCGTTCGAGTGGAGTTCACGGAGAATGATAAAACTCATCTAAGTTGGGTTTGCTTAGCCGAGGCAAGCTGCAGAACGTCAGGGATTATTCTATTTTTGCTTTCAGCGCGTCGGACCTCTCACGTTCAACTTCTTCTCAAGGCCCTTCGTGGACTTGACCACAAACAGGCTGCACTTAGTGTTGAGACTCGCGGTCTCTCTGGTCACACGCGCGATGAACTTGTTCTCAACGCTCCTCGTGTACTTGGCCACGCACACACTGCCCTGGCTGCCGACGCTCGTTGTGTATTTGGTACACACGTCTCACTTGTCCGCAGCGACAACCGTATCCTTAGCCATGCACCCGCTGCAGTAGCTTTCGAAGTCTCTGATCGCACACGCGCTGCCCTCGGTGCTACCAACACTCCTGCTATCTGTGGTCGCGTCTGCGTCCAGCTCGTTCTCAGCGCCCGCCGTGTCCTTGGGCACGCACACGTCACACTTTTTCTCAGCTCTCGTCGTGAACTTGGCACACACGGCTGCAATTATTCTCGTTATGCGGATGGTGTATGCTCTAACTTTGACTTAAATCCTCCAATACGGTGCCATGCTAGCGAGCAGGAACTGACGGCAAGACACGTGAGGCGAGCACAACGTTCGATCGAGAGCGCTGTGCTCGCAGCTCTCGTTCTTAACGGCAAGAGCAAAAAAAACTTATTTGTTGAACTCTTACAATAGTGTACGAATTCTCAATGTTTGGATTTTCTGCTCGTGTATCCATGAGCTCGTCGGATGCGTGTGTAGAATGGCATTTTCCACCTGTAGAAATAGCGTTCCGTCGTCCTCTTCCCGATCCACGTGGTTCATAGTGCAGCGTAGTAAATCATTTTAACCCGAACAAAGGCGGTACGCGACCGAGAAGTCCTCATACGAGCCCTCATCACCTGTCCTCCATAGTTCTCCCCATGGCTTGCGGGCATGGCGCCGCGCAGTATTCTCGTCCAAATCTTTTCTCAGGAAATGTGCCTTCAAGGGTGTCGTTTTACTATGGTATTTTTTTAATAATTCAGGAGTTTTAAGTTCTCTTGGTTTAGTTGTCATATTGTATGTTCTACTCAAAATTGTCATGGGCGGTTCTTTGAATGAATCTCCCCCAAATCGCCCAGCATATACAATTCCGTATACTGACCCGTTTAAGTACGAAATAAGGTGGGTTCTACTAATGACTTGGTTTTGTATGTGGGCGATTGTCCTCCCGCTCCTCAAACAGACCCAAATCGGCAAATTTGGACGGAATTCACAATACACTAATATTAGTTGCCGCGCCATTTCAAGTAGTGGGCACACTCTATGTTTTAGTAAGTGCATACTATTTATTCTTGCAGTGATTGTGAGCTCTTTCGTGTGCCAATTTCCAGTCTTTCTCCAAAACTCTACTACAGAAAATCCCTTCGGAGTTATTCCTGTACTAGTCGAGCAGCACTGGCGTGTTGCTAATTCGGGCGATCATCTAAAACTCTGTATATACACAGTTTTGGCGCGCGCCCCTTCACGTAAGCTTTTCACTGGAAATGGTGGCCAAGATGAAGACAAGCACGTCCGCAGGAAGCAAGCAGAGATCGGCAAAAGACGCTTCCTTTGCGCCTGTGTCAAACGCACGTATGTGCATCAATAGATCTTAACTATAAAATCCATTCATACTATCTAAGTGCGATGATTTTGTCAAATCGAGTTGTAAAAACTACAAACAACTCCAAATGTAGCTCGAGTGTTCCAAGTGCGACGAAAGGAATAGTTTATGTCTTCAATGAAGCGAAGGCTGGCGGCGAATCAGTAAAAGAAACTGGCGCAGGCCCCGCCGTACACGACGACAAACCGCAAGACTGCGCAACACGTGCTTGTGCAGTCAAAGCTGCGAAGTTGCAACACCGTAAGGTCTATCGTCGTGCCGTATTAGAGATTTTGTTCGTCTAATTGTTCCTCGTGCTTATGGCAATATAGGTAAGGCTGTTCTAGCGATTCGCGTGCGTCAAGCTGCATATGCACGCAGCTTCAAAAAAAGGAAATTTTCGCTACATCAGCTCGTTTTGCTCGTCATCACTCGCGTCATGAGAGCCACCTTGATCGGCCAAGCGCGCGCTTTCCAGAGTCAAAGTCAGGAAATTTTTCGATGAGGCCAGGTTTCGTAGCAGCGACAGACTGCAGGCATCCCTGCAGCAACTCGTGGTAAAATGACAGCGAATGGATTTTCCTGAACTTGTACAGGTTCCCCACCTCGAAGCAAGGCCTTCCAGTAGAGCGGTTGTTAGGGTCCCAAACCGTCAGTTTGAACACTCGGGTGTCACGTAGGTCGTTTTTGTCGAGCATGTTGATATATCCCTTGAGATGGTTTTTCATGAAGCCATCCACTAGACCAAGACGCGTTCCGCGATTGTTATCAAGACGTGAAATGGACTCCACGACCATGATAGCCGACACGTTTTGGGTTGTGGGAGGGAATTATGCGCTTCCAAACGAACGCAACTTCTTCACGGACACAAACTGGTGTCTAACCTCGGCGATTAGGCGACGTGCTTCGTTCTCGTCATCGCTGTTGTTGTTGTTGTATTCTCCCGCCATAATACCTTTCTGCAATCCACTTCACAGAGATAAATGAAAAGTGAACTCTGCGATAATAAAAATACCTGGTTCTATGACATTACTCAACTTTTCGACCGGTTTGTAGGACAAACAGAGTACAATATTTGGGTCGCTATAAAACGAACCTATACCCACTTCAAGCCATTGACACTTTATTGTTACGAAACCGTTTTACCGTAACCATGAAGCGTCAACAAGGAAGGTTGTAAAAACGGAATCAACTGATCAAACCGTTTGGAAAACTCATCGTACACAAATGCCAAGAGCCCACAGTGGTGTAGAGCACTTTGCCATCACCGGTACTTATGCACGCTACTGCGATGTACTAACTACAACTGGTGTGGCCGATATTTTAAGCATTAACCCAAGCCAATTAACCTTAGTAAGAGTACTCTAACTACGCTAAAGATTCTTACTACGCAGTGGGCTTAACTTGTTTGAAAAACGTTACTTAGCGTTAGCGGAAATTAGAACTACCAACCGGTGTGGCCGATATTCTAAGCATTAACTCAAGCCAATCAACCTTAGTAAAAGTACTCTAACGACGTTAAAGATTATTACTACGCAGTGGGTTTAACTTGATTGAAAAACGTTACTTAGCGTCAGCAGAAATTAGAACTACCAATTTCGTTGAAGCTCCTGACCGTTTTTGTAAGCCCTACCCTATTAGAAGCCGTTTGGAAATCGCACCGCACGCAAACGACCAGAGCCCACAGTGGTGTAGAGCACTTTGCCATCACTGGTACTTATGCACGCTACTGCGATGTACTAACTACAACTTATAATTGTAGTTGGGCTGAGCGTTCTAGAATCCGTCTACTGTCAGTGAGGTGTCTCCACCACGAGTACTTTAAATTCCACCAACTACACGTGCCGCGTTTATAGCGTGGCCATTGTTTCCTTAAAGCATTTTTCGGAATTGTGTCAAATAATTCTGTTAGTTCATGCAGAGCTCCAGTTCTCCGGAAGCTATTCGCTCTTAACCGTGCTAGAAGTATGCAGCCTCACAACGACAAACACAAGACCGCATAGCACGTGCTCGTACATTCAAAGTAGAGAAATTGCAATACCGCAAGGTTTCACCGCCATGTCCGATATTACACGGGTCTAATGCTCCTGGTGTTTAATGCTATTGGAAAGAGCCGTTGAGCCCCATTGCGGCTTTTCGGACCGGGCGTAAATACTTCAGCCGACTTTTTACCTGTGATAAATTATTGAAGGTTTAGCCTATAATTAAGATGTCAATAAGGAGTATAAGGCCACTTGCTAGCGCTACAAACCAGATAAAAAGTTCCGTTTTACGCTATTTTCTAGTGTTCCGCATTGAAGGGGCGTTTTCTATGGAAATAAAACCGGGCCTCAGTTTAATAACGTTTACCTCAAACCCTATCTCCAAGAGACGCAGAGTCCTAATCGGAAATCGTTCTTCAACTCAAGTTTTTTTTGCCCAAATTGGCCCCCAGTACGATTGTAAATTGTAGCCCTAACCCATTCTCAAAATTTATGGTTACAAGCTGTAAGAACTAAATCAGAGCTGAAATAAGAGAAACACGATTATAGAGGGGGCTTCGCCCCAATAAGGGTATTCCTATTCACGTATGTACCATAAAAATGGTTCCGAGTACCTTTCGTTTGGAACAGTGCGGCTGCAAAGTGGGGACTCGGCAGGCAATTTGTTATGTATTACTTGCTGGAACGCGGTGCCACCGTCCCTCTTCGCTAGGTGCTAGAAACACACCGGGCTTTTAGACTACCACAACTGCATCTGCGAAGAACCAGATGAAAATGATGCAATGTTCCGCCGAGCTTGCGACGATGTTATCTCGTCTGCACGTTAAGGACCCAATGTCCGTGGACGAGCTGCTGAACCCGCCGGACGAGTACATAGTTGCAGAAGATCCCACAGATGAAGATTTCTGTGGAGTTGTTGACCAAGAAATGACTGTAGATGGCTCTGAGGACGGCTCAGAAAACCTGGACGAGGACGATATGGAGCGTAGTATGTGGATTGAGGAGGACCTTGAGTCAGAAGCAATTAAAGAGCATCTCATGTGGGTCGCTAAGCTTCTGGTTCGTGCAGGCACGACTGGCGTATCGGATAGATCGGTGAGCGGACTGCGAGAAATGCAGCGCACGATCCGTGAAGAACTTGGAAGAAAGCAAGGCCACAAACACCAAAAGTCTTTGCTAGATTTCTTCGGATGTTATAACCTTTTCCATAGTTAAACACCCCAGAATAGGAATATTTGACTTCAAATGTATTCCATTTTACGATTGAGGGGTGAGAGGGAATAATATCTTGTGTTTGTAAATGACTGCTCAACGGGAACCGCTAATTTACTGCTATTGAGGAGTATTCCGTTTCTAGGGATTACTACCGAAGGGATCTTCTGTAGTACTGCGCCATCCTCCTGACACCGCGCCTGATGTGCCGCATTCGGAACAAGGCGGCAGCAAAGTTTGTGACTGCCGACGCGCCAACGAAGGAAGAGAACGATGGTGGCCGAGTATTACACAGAGAGCAGCGTCCAAGAGCTCCTTCGGCGAGTGTGCCTTGGTATCAAACACAGTTCATCCGAGTGAAGCAACTTCAAGTCGACCAGTCTAATCGACGAACACAATTCCGAAGCTACGGCGATATTGTTGCGAACCTGGTTACCAGTAGACTACTGGCAGTAGCTGCATTTGCCCGGGCTGTTTGCCGCACTGGCCGCCGCCTGTCTGAGCATAGAGGGCAATCTAAGTCACGCAAGATGATTTCCCAACATTTGCAAATACACACAGGGTGATGTATCTGTGCTGGAAGGCTCTTCTGTTCTCCTCCCACGCTGGAACGAAATGTAGCCAACGACCGCCACAAGGTAGCCTCCGTGCGGTAGCATGGCCACCTGAGGTGACAGTTCTCGATTGCGAACCGCGGCCACAAGAGAGCCGTCATGACGGGCGAGGTAAAGGGAAACCGGGTGGGGAGGGAATGAAATCATAGTCGCTCACAGCGCTCGCGTTTCTCGCATGTCATACAGGACGAGGTGATTGCGCTGCACGCAGCGTTGAAAGGCGAGATGGAGAAGAAGCTTCAGTGGCTTCAAGAGCGAGGGGTTTCGCTGGGATATAATGTATGTGCACTTGCACTTTCGCGTGAGGGGAGGAGGACAGCTCTCACGGTGCGGTGCTGCTGTTGCAATGATGTGAATGTCAGGAGTATATTGCAGGTGATTTGGCGGCGCTCCTGGAGTATATCGAGAAGAAAGAGATCACGAGTATTCGACTGGTGAGTAACGTGTGGGGATTGGCATCGACCTCAGTGTGGATCCCATCGCTGACTGATGAGGGAGCAGGACGAGCTGAACAAGACGTGGAATGCGTTCGGCGAAGAAACTGTTGAAGAGATCAAGTCGTTGGTCGCAGGCGGTGCAGACATCGACGCGAGGAACGAGGTGCGTTTTGTGGGGTATTGTGGCGGTTGTGTATGCATGTGTGTGTTGTGATGTTGGGCCGTGTCTGACTCCGATTTGTGGTGTTGTTTCTCTCTTGGCGAATGGGATAATGAAGGATGGCTGGACCGCGCTCCATTATGCGGCACAAAACGGCAATACGGATGTTGTGTCGTTGCTGTTGGATCGAGGCGCCGACGTGAATGCTGTTGAGGAGGTATGTATTGACGTCGACAGTGTGGAGTGCTGTGGCGGTGGTGTATGCATGCGTGTTCTGATGTTGGGCCGTGTCTGACTCCGATTTGTGGTGGTGTTTCTCTCTTGTCGAATGTGCTAATGCAGGGTGGCTGGACCGCGCTCCATTATGGAGCATCTAATGGCAATGCAGATATGGTATCGTTGTTGTTGGATGGAGGCGCCGACGTGAATGCTGTTGAGAAGGTATGTATTGACGTCGACAGTGAGGAGTGCTGTGGCGGTGGTGTATGCATGTGTGTGTTCTGATGTTGGGCCGTGTCTGACTCCGATCTGTGGTGTTGTTTCTCTCTTGTCGAATGGGATAATGCAGGATGGCAGGACAGCGCTCCATTATGCGGCTGAATACGGCAATACGGATGTGGTATCATTGTTGTTGTATCGACGCGCCAACATTGATGCAGTTGATAAGGTCAGTCAATGCTGATCGTAGTTTTACCTTTGTCGGTACTCATGTCTGAGATTGTAATTCGTGTGAATAGGAGAACCATAGTCCGCTCATCGGCATGATCTGGACAATTTCGAAAGAGGATCTAGATGAAAAAATTGCCGTTGCACGTTTACTCCTATCAAGTGGATCGAATCCGAACTATTTATCTGTATCGGTCGCCAAGGCGTCTCTGGAACAACACCGGATGGGACTACTGGCGTGTGCGCATCATTGGCACGATTGCTATGAGAAGGGTAAACCATTGACAAAGATTCCGTCGGAAGTCATTGAAGGCGGCGAGGACGCGGTCAGGACTTTTCTTGACGATTTGGAGAAGACTTCTGTGGATCAACTTGTCTATCGGTCCAAGGTCTGTATCGTCGGTCCAAGCACCTGGGGCAAGACAAGTCTTGTCAAGTCGATGACTAAGAACGAGCCGTTGCCCGAGAATATTGAAGACCGAACCATCGGTATCGACCTGTTTCCGTTTACATTCAAGGAGAACAGCAATGATGGAACGACGTCGAAACAGCACGATGTGACATTCT